TTCGGTATCTTCCCAACTACCAGTTCCCAAAGATCCTTTGGAGCCAAGATGCTGCTCAGTTTGGGAAGCTTCTTGGGCCTGGCGCGTGGATGGTGCTGTTCCAATACAGCAGGAACCACGATGCGTGCTCGCTTTGACTTCATGTGGTGATAGAACACCACAGTGCCCTGAGGGCTGAAAGGATGTGGAAAAAAGAAATGAATCAAAATTTATGGTCATAATTTACATGCTGTTGCCTACACGGACAAACAGTTGGTTGTGTCGTTGTGTCAATGCATGTTGCACATGTACAGAAACTTGACACCACTGGCCACTGACACAACCTCGAGAGATGTTGCCAATGTTGTTTTGTGAGAACGACTCAATGTTCTGAAGACATAGACCCCCCCAACGATAGTATACACATTATGTTTGGAACGGCGAACCAACTGTAGTCTGATATTTGGTGAACGAAAATAGGTCAACAATTTTACAACATGTTGCATCGTATGTCGATGCAGCGTTGCTATGGATATTGTGGAGGAATTTCTGTCATTGACCCGCACAGTGTCTTGAATGTATATGCTGGGTGTCTTTTCAATCAACCTTGCCTGTGTGTTATTCATTGTTATTCCAAGTGTGAACTCTTGAGCAGCTTTGCCAAGGTGAGTGTGGGCACCATTGTCTCTCTTTTTGTGATTTTGAGACGAAGGGTACCAGGGCGCCACCTGCCGAGACATGGCCAACTTAATGTGAACAGCTTGTGTTTGAGATTTTTGTACCCTGCACATTTTGGAGATGACCACCTGCCTCACGATAAGGCAAAATTTGCGTAATCTTGTGGACCTCCTGAACCACGAGGATGAGAAAAACTATGCCAGAGCTTTTTGGAGATGGCTTGATAAACAGAAATGGAGGAAAATGTTGCCTGTGCCATTGGAGAACCTCATCTCACAATTTGTTCTTTTAAGTTTGCAGGGATTGCAGTGCTGTCTTATCTTGACCCTCCATGACTCCACGCTACCTGCTTGATTGGCCAAGGGTTCCAGTCCTTTTGCAAGACCTGAGCCGGGAACCATCGGTGTATCTATCCACATGGCATCTGATGCTTCCGACTGATGTGAAGCTTGGAAAGGTTTTGAGGAATCGAATTTGCATCGTTCATTTCAATCATTGTTGATTGTTGAGTCAATCGGCCCCACATCTATTCCAAGGGTATCGCACATCTATCGTTACAGCTTTGACCTCTTCAAAGAAAAAATTATTGGACCTGATGGTGTGCCTTGTTGGAATGGGTGAGTGTACTTGTGCAAACTTTGCTCATTGCATTTGAGCAGTGGTAAGGCACTCCAGGAGTTTTGGGCTTCCATGATGAACTCTGAATGGTATAGACAGCATCCCATTCTGAGTGAGGCTGATTCTTGTTTGCGATTGTAGGCTGGTGTTTGACTCAAAGTGAGCCTGTTGATGGAGCGCTACTGCTACTCTTACGTGTTATTTTTTTCTTTGTGCCGCAAGGATTCCAACGATCTTTGCAAGCTCATCCCGCTATTTATCCACGGAGACGAGGCAGACTCCCGCCGGAGAAGGAACTTCAGCACATTGACCTTTGGCTCGTTGAGTGTGAGTGGGACGATATTTGATTCCAAATTTTTGATCTATTGTCTTGACAATAGCGTTGCTCACACAGAGACAGCTTGCACTCTCGAGCGCTGGGTATCGCATAGCATTGCTGAGCTACAAACTGGGACCTTCAGCAGTGTTGATCCATGGAATGAAGTGTTTGCTTCTAAATACCCAGATCGCAGTGGAGAGATCTGTGGAGGATACAGGTTCATCCTCACGATGATCAAGGGAGACGAGAAGTGGCATCAAAGAACATTCCGTACAACAAAATCATGGGTCAGCTCAAATCCGTGTCTTCACTGCGAGGCATCAAATGATCCAGACAGTGGCCTTCTTTACACAAGCTTTGGACCAAGGGCTGCCCACAGAAGCACGTTGAGAAGCACGTCCACATTTATTCAGGAGATCGCGCACATGCACACGTGGACAACCGTGCCGGGATTTCACATTGGGTGTGTGGTCTATGACTGGCTTCACATTGTAGATTTGTGCGTAATTCCTGAGTGTGCTGGTTCAGCATTGAGTCTTGTTCGAGCACTCGCTGCCATGTTTGTGCTTGAGTTGGATGTGAACAAACTACTTAGTTTCCACTTGGTTGAATCTAAGGATGTATTTGATTTCACATCATTCCCTACCCTTCGGGAGTGGCTCTGCAGACAGCAGGCTTCAAAAGGCCTTCACCATGTTCAGCAAGGAATGCAAGCACTTTCGGATCAGTACCTTGGCGTAACTTAGTGCTGAAATAGAGTTTGGCTGTCTCTGCATGTAGGGTTCTTTGATTCGAGGAAACCGAGGGATGTTCTTCTCAGTGCAGCTTCATTGCACTCATCAATGTTACGACTGTGAATTTTGTTATCAGTGGTTGTTCGTGTGCTGGTACTCCTCCATGGGTGGCTGGAACTCAGGAAAAACTTGTTTCCCAACGGGCCAAAGACATATCCTACATTTGCACAAAAGCACATGAATGGAGCAGAGTCCTGTCATAATTGAGTTTGGCGATCTGCAGTCATTTGGGTCAACTGCAATCAATGCCATCACACATGGACTGAACCAAGGAATGTGTGGTACCAGCGTGGTGGTTGCATCGCTTCACACTGAAGCTTGCTGATGAGCATCCGGACGATGCTGAATTGCAGTGGCTCGAGAAAGAAAAGTAATGTGTCCTTTAAAACTGTTTGATGTGAATGTCGATTGATCTTTGTTTGTGGTCGATCTGAGGCTGGTGGCATCGATCTTTCTCAATCTGACGTTGATGCGACAGGCAATCGGCCGAGCACAGAACCAGGGCCGGTTCACAACTTTGCTGGACAAGAATCTGGAGCAGCTCCGCCGCGCAACATTTCTCTTCAGATCAGCTCACAACAGTTGCTGGGATTTAGAATTTTGCATCACTGTGCAAGTTCAGCCATAGGTTTTGGACCTGTTGTTGTTGAGCTGAAGGCCTCGCAAACACTGCGATTGCAGATGGAAGGCTGTTATGGAAACTACGTCCAAAATATCACAAGTTCCTTGGTAACATTTGTGTGTCGTGATGTGTTTTGTGATTTGTGGAAGTTCTTGGGTGCACCAAAGTGTTTTTTTACCTGCCCACATTCAACCAAGATTGGACCACATCGTTTGGGATCAGGCCCATTTGATCTCGCCTCTACATTCCTCGTGTTACATGGACGAGGATGGGATGGGCCAAGTAAAGCGCTTGGCCAAAGAATCGAATCCTCGTAGCTTAGGGTATGTGGTGCTCCAAAGGTATAGTGCCTTTTTGTGCACAAGGTGGCTGCGGCTTCAGGAGTGACTGTAGTACCTTCCACTAAAGTCCACTAATTAAACCAAACAATAGCTTGTTTACCGGAAGCTGCCGCTGCAAGCATGTCGGCACCACCTCGTCCGACTCCGCCACGGATGCAAAGACCAGCAGAGGCCGCGGCTCGCAGGAGGGGAAATGATGCAAACCAAGAACAACAAAGGTTAAGTTATGGCGCGTACCAGTTCCTAACCATGCATAAGTGTTTCTTGTTTTGCATCACTTTCAAGGGATCTGGGCTCATGAGAACCGAACATGTGGAAACGCTTCCTCCAACAGATCTCTACATCCTTTTGGGGGGAAACCCAAAGTACCATTCTAACAGGCTACTTGAAGAAACCTCTTCGGGAAGTTGATTATGAAAATTTTGTAGAGACCTGTTGGAGGATGCTGGTATAGACAATATACATGTGATCCAGATGGCCTCTCTCTTGGGTGGGTCGTCTCTGGGTACCCGACCACGAGTTTATCAAAGGGGAGGACCTGGCGCCTGTGACCCTTCGCAGAATGCCCATCAGGCTTATCTCCAGAATGCTCAGAATGACTTTCCAGAACCTATGTTAGCTCTCAACTGGTTGTCATGAGAGCGCTTTTCTCCTCCAGATTGTTTCGTTCTGGTGTTGCCAAAAGCATCCGGAGGGTTACCACTTACCACTTACGATGCCTATGACTCAGACCGACCCCTCTCAGATCGGTCCCTCTCAGTTTCCGGTGAACCTGTGTTTCCGGTGTTCACGAAAGCCAGCACCAGCTAGCTGGAGTTGCCCTTGCTTTAGCAAGTGAGGGGCTGGAATCCTCGGGATCGCCGCATCACGTGAAAACTTCATATGTAGGGGGGGGGGGGAGTGGGTTCAACTCCCCCCTCGGACGCCTCTGGGACACCTCTCGGGCATCTCTTATGGCATCCACTTTGGCTTAACTCCTCTGGGATACGGTGCAACAGATTCAACAAGCTCACAGGTTCATGACATCGACATCGATAGAAGAAACAAACAAATCATGCAAGCAGCTTTGTTTTGCCTCTGGGACACCACACCTCTTGGGCACCTCTTATGGCATCCACACTGGTTCAACTCCTCCGTGGAGGTTTTGGGATACGGTGCAACAGATTCAACAAGCTCACAGGTTCGTGAACGCATCGGATGCATCGAACAGTGTGGCAAAGTCCAGCCACGCTTCTTTACTGTGTCATTGCTGTTTGTGTGTCTTACACGTTCACAACGTTTTACCTCATGAGCATTTGCCTCACTCCGCTTGATGTCTCACCAGTCCGGATGCACCCCTGCTAGCTTTCGTCACCTACCCTCGGCCTCAAGTCTTGTTATGGGGGTCGAGGGAAACCAATGAGTTACACTGATTCGATGGAAGAAGCTCCCTCAGCTCACTCGTAGATTAGGAGAAGAAAAAGACATTCATAGGGTGTGTCCCCCTAAACCTGCAACAGTTTGGGGAAGAGTCTTTACTAACCATCATCATTTTCTGTTACTGGCAATGGGATATACCATGATATACCGATATACCCAAGATATTCAGTGATACAGGATGTCATGGAGTCTTGTGAATTTCCGCGGAATGCATCCTCCCAGATTCACAGGAGACAAAACAGTTCGACACCGTCTGTTCCGCTTGTGCGCCGTTCCCCCGTCTCACATGAGCACAAGATCACCGATGGCCTTGGGGCCGAGAAGAACTTGGTGGCCAAGACCACCCTTTGGCGATCAGGGATGCTGCGATGTGGAGTCAGTTGCGATGCGGTTTGTTTGTTTGAAGAAACGATATCAGTTGAACAGTATCAAAACAAAGTAGAATGTGTGTGTGTGCCATTGTGAGCTCACATTCTGATCATCTTGTATTACATATGATTATACTTATATCATGTCCAGGGCGATTCATTCTACATATATATATACTGTATATTGTAAGATGAACATGACACCAAGAGGGACTTCCTGTGTTGGACACATCAGTTTCTTATTTTTTCCGATGTGTGATGTGTGTGTTTTGTCCTTTCTGTGCTTCATGCCAATGCCGGGCTTATATATATACACACACGTATACTATATTTGGGTTTGTCCTATTTCCTGTAACAGTAAACAGATATCACTAAACCAGGCCTGCACTAACCATCATCATCCACTGTTACTGTAATGAGATAAACCCAATATATAATACTTGTTTGCCTTGCGACCACACCAACCAACCAAGCAGCGAGCCAACCAACCGGTGAGTATTGAAATAGGGAGACTCCCCAAGACTGCCTGGAAGGACCAAAACTCATTGGCTGGCCGAGCGGCCCCGGGGCAGCCAGGTCTTTGCCGAAACAAGAAGCCACAAAGGCCGGTTCATTGGGTTCCCTATTTTGGGACAACCCACGTCACGACGTGACAAGTAAATTATGCATAATATACATGTGTACTGTATAATTATGTAACAGTGTGTATATATTGTATTAGTATTTATACACATATGCCGTAAATATACAATGCAAAAAAAGTGTTGCATCGCAGAAGACCCTGGTTGGCCAAACTTGTGTTTAGTCTACTGGCCCAGCGCGCTTGTTTCAGTGACGGCGCGCAGGCAAGTTGGCGTTGAGATATACAGGACAAGGTGGTGCCAAGTCCGAAGCGACCAATGATGACCACTGTGAGAAGGTGGATCATGATCATCACTGATAGTTTATATAGATAGAGTTTATAATGGATCAAGAGTAGATGGCACCATCCCCAAAAGGTGTTGTGTTTTTTTTGTGTGTGGACCCCTATATATGAAACAGCTGTATAGGTATAGATGAGTTTAGTTCTTCATGAAATTCAGAGATCCCCCAACACTAGGCAAGCAACCACCTGCTTGAGCTGATTGGATCCAGACACACCTGGTACCATGAGGTAAACATCCAGCTTTTGATCAAGACTTGTGCCCTTTTAGAGCCAGCGGTTGTTGGATTGCCAGTTACACAGGGTTGCTTGCCAATTAGACAGGGTAACATGTCCACAGATGATCAAATTATTGAACCTGTTGCAACCAACTCAGGGATTTTTGGCATAAAGTTGATGGAATACATTTGGCACGTCAAATGGCACATTGCTCTCTAATTACATCTCTCTACAAGACAAACTGGCGTAGGCGTAAACATTGCAGACTCCCAAACAAACGCCTCACTTCTGACGCGCCTTTGGAGTTTGGAAACAGCGAAAATAAGAAAGAGAAAGGGTGGGTCGATGTCAGGTTTCAGTTTCGGAACCAGTGGCAAGTAGCACCACTCAGGGCAGGATGGCAAACTGGCAGCGATTGGAAACAACAACTCGTGACAGTGCCAGGGAGGCGTTATTTCTTTTTGAAGCCATGCAATCCTTCTTCAAACATCAAAAATCAACAACAACTGGAGGGACCTTCTTTTCGGAGACGAGACGTCAGCGAGACGTGAGCCAGCCGTCAGCCGTGTCTCTTCTCTTCGGACGTGCCGCCTTTGGTCGATCCTGAGACGTGATTTCTCCGGTGGGAAGCTGACCGGCCCGAAGATGCACCCGAAGTAACCGTCCATGGGACGACATGAACCGGAGTGAACCGTATACAGTTGGATAGGGGATCAACAAAAGTCAACAAATGCACATGTCCTCACCAAGAAGAAAGATGTCCATGTGCGAAGTTCGTAGAAATATAGGAGACAAAGAAGTTTAAGTATTTGGGCTTATAAGAGTGTATGTATTCATTTAGTTGAGTCCATAGCCGCAGCATGCCGCAGCCCTGTTGATACAGTCCTAGATAGTTTGTTCAAGAGCTGAAGGCTAATTTGCCACGAATCATTGGACCGAACATGACCATGTCCTGCCACTTGAGCCAATCCCGGCACTTTCTCCAGCAATGCCAGTCACACAGGTCACACAAGTCACGCAAGTCGCAAGTTCCCCACCTCGTGAGGCTTCTTGGAAGGTCGAACCGCCTGGTGGAGGCGACCTGGCCGGGTGGCCTCATCCGCGAGACCAAACCAACATAGACTGGCTAAGGTATGGTATACCATCAGTATACCATACCATCTCAAGATGTGGAAAGGGTATACGAACGAGATAACTATGGTTTCGTATGGTAGCTTGATTTCCAGTAGCTAAGGCTTAGTGTTCTACTTAACCTCTCTATTCTAATGTTCATACTTCTTTGTCGATTGTCGACAAACAACACAACGATCTTTGAAAATAGAACTTTCTTGACAACCAGATTATCTGATTCAAGATGCTTTGCATCCCTGAATCTCTCCCACCGATTCCTGCGTATTTCTTCAGTTGATTGGTGCTACTCGAAACTACTGATGGGGATTCCCATCAGGGTCAGCTTCCTCTCCGTGCCAAACGCGCGCTATTGGGAGGAACACAATTTGGGAGCTTCGCTCAAGATGCGCAGGTCGTTGATGGTAGTCCCGTGGTACTCAATTCCATTTAACTTATATAATTCCAATTGATCCTGTCAATGGCAACTCCAAGTTTGTTCTTTTGATCCAATCGATCTGGCAGATGCGACCTCAACCTCAATCAATCTTCCAGACCAGCCCAACAAGCGGCTGGGAAACAACTGGTTTTCCGGTGATTTCGCACCAAGCGGCCTTGGGAAACCAGGAATACCTGTGGGGCATCACTCTTGTGGGCTTTCAAACCTGGTCTTTTGGTTCCTCAAGTTCTCCCGATTCGTGGCAATCGGGGTGAATTTCACGTTGGAAGAGGAGGAGAAGTGAAGCAGAAGCACGGACATAGCAGACATGGCAGAGGAGGTTTAGGGTTTACCCGTGTTCTGGGCTGTTTGCTGTTGAGAAATCCTAATTTTCGGTTCTGGAATCCATGATGCTGGGTCATCAGATTCAACCAACGCTAGTTGGGAATGCAGGGTGGAAATGACTATAGTTCTTCATATAGTGCTCCTCAAGATATGACCACAACATGACCACAACATTCACATGCTTTCAGTTTTTGCATTGTTTTTGCGACTCGTTTGTGCCCTTAGTGGCCCCGTTTTTGTCTAGCTCGGAATTCAATTCGGTCGAGGCCACACACAAGCAAGCAATCGCTTGCGCCTCGTAGTTGCAGCATGGAGTGCTAGCAGATTTGAGTTTGCTCACCTTGCGCAGAAACATGGGGCAAGGTGTGAGCTCTACTCATTTGAGGCCGTGTGCCAACACTGCAAGCCTTCTCGTAGCTCACAGCGAGCTGCCCAAAAAGCTTTGTGGGGTCACTGGTCAGAGTGCGATGAGGATGTAGGTGGAAGGTAATCCCGTCCACAAGGCGCTTTTAGGCAGAGTCCCCACATTTTGGCAGCTGCATGACAGCACATTCACCTTGGGCCATCTTGGGCTTTCAGATCTTGATATTTTTCGATTCGTATCGGGACAGCCCAAATTCGATTGCTGAGGGCTCGGTGACACCGCGACAGGTCGACGGTCGCCCGACAGGAGTCCGGTGATTCAGTGGAAGCTGTTTCGAGTCACGTAGTAGATGAGCTGCCATTGGTCAGAATATGTCAGAATCCATTTCCTGGAGACGTATCACAGTTTATAGCTGTGCTCTTTCGTGGGTCGGGTGGTGTGTGTGTGTGTGTGTCACCCCCTGTACCAAAGGGTCCAATGCCACCGTTTCCATTACCACCACTTAACAAGGCAGGGGGACAGAGCTCTCTGATGCTACTCTGTCCAACGAAGCTATGCATCAGAGAGGGAAGCATCCACTGGCCATGGATGTGTACCTGCTGAACGATTTCAAGCTGTGACTCCACTCTTCACGTTTTGATTCATGGTCCATAATGATACTTCCCCCAAACCGTTTTTCTTCCAGCCTTTTCAGCAGCCGCGCGTTTTGCAACATGTCATTGTGAGCAAACCTTTTGTTGAAACACCTTCAACTCTTCGGACCTTTCACCGTGCCGTTCCATCACCATTTTTCCTGGAAATTGAGTTAACTGAAAACCAATGTCAGAGTGTGAGCCGCTCAGTCTTCCCACTTGGGTGCTGGGTGTGAACCCCTTCATTGGGGCGCTGAAGCCATTCGGGCAATCATCGTTTCCATTTTTGATAACTGTTTCCCCTTTCTCCACCTCTATAACTGAATTAACGGAGTTTCGAGCCGCCGGGCTATAAACGATGGACTTTCTGCGAGTCCACTTGCACTGTCACTGCAACATGCCGCTAAGTATTCACCAGTCCATGTCACTCTGCTAAGTATTCACAGGCCGGACGAATTAATCGTGCACCCCCTCCCTGCCCCTGGGCCTCCTCTGCTATCCCACCCGCTACTGAGCAACAGAAGGAAATCGCACTCAACACACTTGTGTGTTGGTGCCTTTCCTTCTGTTTCTCCTAGTCTATTGCTAGCTACCCGGGCGGTTTAAGACGAATGTCCCGCTCGCAAACTACTTTCGTTTAACTAAGTGGGCCTCGTAACTACACCTATCTTTCTTTCTTGCCCTCTTAGTCTGCTTTTGTTTTGTTTGCTTTGTCTGTCTTTCTAAGGCTTTTTTAGGTGACTAATAGTTTTTCGCTGTGCCAACAATTGGCGCTTTCTGTACAAATGTTCCCCCGGAGTCAGGACGCTACTGGAGGCCCCTGGCCTCACTACTACTTTGCTAGGGGAGACCGCGCCGAATACGGCTCTGTGTGTGTGTGTCACCCCCTGTACCAAAGGGTCCAATGCCACCGTTTCCATTACCACCACTTAACAAGGCAGGGGGACAGAGCTCTCTGATGCTACTCTGTCCAACGAAGCTATGCATCAGAGAGGGAAGCATCCACTGGCCATGGATGTGTACCTGCTGAACGATTTCAAGCTGTGACTCCACTCTTCACGTTTTGATTCATGGTCCTTAATGATACTTCCCCCAAACCGATTTTCTTCCAGCCTTTTCAGCAGCCGCGCGTTTTGGAACATGTCATTGTGAGCAAACCTTTTGTTGAAACACCTTCAACTCTTCGGACCTTTCACCGTGCCGTTCCATCACCATTTTTCCTGGAAATTGAGTTAACTGAAAACCAATGTCAGAGTGTGTCTTCTATTAGATCCCCAATGGTGCAAAAGCATCCGAGTCAGTGGTCGTTCGACCAATCAAAACAGGAAGCTACCATGAGGAGGAGTGACTTCCATGAAAATGATCCATCGTACGATTTCCAAAGGGTCCATACGAACAAGGCTTTGCATCCCGCCTTTTTCTCGGCTCTTCAAGTAGGTCAAGTTATACCTTGCAAATGAGTCATGCAAGCAATTGTGTCAGCCAACATGAGATCTGGTGCTCAAAGGGGAAGGGCTTGGCCATTTGGAAGGCTTTTCTTGATTGCAAGAAGTCAAGGAGTTGCTGAAGACTGAAAATAGATATTTGCTTGCCCCAATCCCATTCTACCTTATATCGATGGATAACCTTCTAACCTTCATCCTTTTTGGGGGATTGGTTTCCCCTTCAACAGATGGAAAAAGGGTGAACCTGGAATTTCCCGGGTACATGAGGGAGACAGAAAACCTCTAAACCATGACAAACGGTTACCCTCCCCGGACCGAGGAAGTAGAATAGAACACCTGCCTGGTGCCTTGAAAGGAAACAGGCAGAGTGTTTTTTGAAGTTAGCAATAAAGAGCAAAACCCAGACACACAGTAGAAAATTGACAAGAACGTCCCGCAACCGACGTTCGTGAACATATGATTTTTTAAACGGTGTTGTCAGTGTTGTCTATTCAAACTGGATGACACGGTGCTTGGACCGATCACTACATCACACAATCAAGAAAAACCTGCGCTTTTGCTTGGTTGCACCGGGTTTTTTGTGTAACGCGTTACCGCCCGTTGCACGCGGCGCAAACATCGTGCAAAGTGCTGATGGAGTGGAGAAGCCTTTGTCGCGAGAAGTTGTGCCAGGGCCGTTCGCAAGCCGCCACTTGGCCCGCACCTCGGATTGTTCACACCAGCCCAGCTCGTCAAGTACAACTTCCCCAAGGCCCTAGGGGCTTCCCTTCATGGTCCGTGAGGCTATCCCACCCAGTATCCCTTCGGCCCTCGGCTACTACAGTCCGGCCCAGGTGGTCTTTGAGAACAGCGAAGCGTCCCTGGGCACCTGGGAGGTGCCGCTTCGCTCGAACGGCCTCGCGGACCGGCCTCGGAACGACGCGAGATGTCGGGCATGGCGGGCGAGAGTTGGAAGGAAGCGAGAGGACATGGAGCGAAGGGAAGCGAGGGGAAGCGAGGGGAAGCCAAGTGCAGAAAACGGGGAAGCCATGACTCCACCCTATAAACTAGCGTCCGATCGCTCCGTTCGTAGCGATGCCCTTTGTTCCTAGTTTCTTGCGCTTCTTGCTCCTATAGTAGTAAGGCCAGGAGCCCCTAGTAGTTTCTTGTTACTACTTAATATTTTGAGAGAGATGAGTCATGAGTGTAAGGCCATGGAACACCCCAGTGGTGAACCAGGGGACCGCATCATGGTTCAAGGGGGTGACTCAAAGTGTTAGTCGTCAGTCGTAACATCCTTTTATCCAAAAAGAGAACTGCAACCCTGATGTAAAGCCGTAAAGTAATATCATAACATTGAACCAGCAGTGTACTTCAACCACGCTTAACCCGACACATTGCCCCGCCGTTGGAGCTGGCCATGTTCTCCCCAAAAGCCTTTTTTCTCCAGGTGCTGCTGCTGCTCCGAGATCTTTGCGCCCAAGATCCAGAGGCATTGGGATTTTCTGCTCTGCTGGGAGGATGAGACGAAGCACAGCAATAACAAAAGGTAATGTTATGATGTACCTTACAGCCTACCTCTGAAATCTCAAGGATTCATAAAAAAGCAAAAAAGATGCAAAACCACACTCACAAAGGATGACCAGGAAATGCAAAAAAACATGCAAAAAAAAAGCAAAAAAAAGGCAGCTGGTCAAAAAGATCGCATAGCAAAAAGCAACAAAAATGCAAAAGGAAGCCAGAAAAACAGCAAAAAAAACGCAGAACAGCAGTTCAAAAAACGCAAAAAAAACGCAAAAAAATGCAAAAAAAATGCACACGCACCAAAAAGTCACAAAAAAGGTGACTTTTACAAGGAATCAAGCAGAATCAGGCAGGCAAAAGCAAGGGGAGAGCCTCAAGCAAACAGGAAATTGCTGGTAGGTCCGTAGGGCCGCATGAAATAGCAACAAATCACAAGCAGTAGCTAGGAATACTATAGCTATAGCTATAGTGTTGTATAAGAAGTTAGCTAGTAGTAAAGTGAAAATTCACAGTGATGCAAATACCTCGCTTCATCTTGACAACACTCCTGTCACTTTTCAGCGGGCATGACGTATGCTCCTGGCTGTCTTCTTGTCAAAGTCTTAAAGGTTTAAATGAGTTGAAATGAGAATCTTCACAGGCCCGAATCTTCAGAGGCCCAGCACAAGCACGATACAAATAGCTAATTTAAAAGGAACTAACATAGACATAGACTTAGACCAGTTCAGGACTGCACCTGGGCACCATTCGCTATGGGAATCAGTGGAGTCAGTATCAGTAGGGGAAAGCATCGTGCTCAAGCCATCTGAAAGCCTGAGACGACTGAGAATTGGCCAAAACTCGGGCAAAAGCGAGAAGGTCAGAGCTTCGAGTCTGAGCAGACGTTGCTCTAACTCGTGAGCTAAAGGAAACGCTGAAAGCCTACTCGAGCCCTCCTACCCTACACTCATCACTTGCTACTTCTTTCCAGCATCTAGCACAGACTTAGCAGCATTCAGTAAGGCAGGGTGAACCTCTTGCTCCTTGACACCATGGTTCCCACCAACCAAGGATTCCATTTCCTTCCGGATCAGCTTGCAGGCCATGTCATTGCTCTTGCAGACAAGACCGTTGGCCAGCATGCCCTCTGATTTGAAGAGTTGACCCATGTGGTGTTGGTGGCTCACTTCCTTCGCCAAGGACTCCAAGGTTTGCTTCACCTGCTTCCCGGTCTCATTGTTCAAGTCCTTCAAGAACTTCACACGCTTCTGCCACAGCGTCACATCGCTGCAGTCCTGCAGGGCAAAGGAGAAAATGCAAGTCTCAGACATTTCTGACCTCACAGTAAGTTGATTCATAATTCATAACTATATTTTTTGGGGGGATGGCAGGCCTGGTCCAGGGTGCGAAGGATATCCGGCAACTTGCTCACATCATCACCACCCAAGTGAAGAGACACGAAGGTCCTGACTTCCTTCACAGTTGCCTCCTCACCAAGAGAGTGCTTCCAGGATTTCCCCTCTCCCGGCAGGTGCTTCTCACTCGTGATTTCACAAAGTGTGCCCACATGCTTCTCCACTGTCGCCTTCATGTCATGCACAAAGTCATTCAGTCCGCTGATCACCTCCTCATTCAGTGGAAAAGCCTCACCAATGTCCATAGCAGCGATCTTGCCAGAGTACTCCTTGATCTCGTGCTCTGGCTGCTTGTCGCCACTGGCCTTCTTGACTGAGGCAAAAAAGCTTTCCGCAGACTTCAGGTAGGCGATCAGCACACCTTGCTTGACATCATTCTTGAGACGGGTCTTGCTGTCTGACCCAAGCTTGAGCCACTTTGCTTGCTGCTTTCTCAAGTAGGCCCCATCTGAAAGAAGCTTGGCTTGACCAGTCACAGCGCTGAGCTGTTGGTGGGAGTCAAAAGCAAGGTCCACCATCTTGTTCAGCAAAGTCAACTCCTCACTCTTGATGTCCGCTGGTTCCTTTCCATGGACACCCATTGCCTGATCGATTGTGGAGATTGCCAAAAATCAACAAGGGGAATGGGAGCGCTAAGTAGTTGTGAAAACAGCTTTTGTCCTCCTCACCCTCCCCACCCCTTCTGTCCACCAACGTCTTTGAAGGGTTACTCTAGACTCTATACAAGTGTGAACAAAATTGACCTAAACCAGGCCTCAAAACGCAGAGTGCGGAGCAGTGCCCAGCTAAGGTATTGCAAATCCCTCTTGACCTTTTCTTCCATTGGCTCTGAACCGCGCTCAAGTTTCTGCAGAAGGGAAAGCATGTCACCTGTAGGCGGCAAGGAGAAGTGAAAGGCTCCCCCCTCAACCTCTTGCTTCTCCAGAGTCTGGGTCATGTTGGCTAGGTTCTCAGCAAAGAGCTGCTGGGAAACCTTGCCCTGCCACTCAACAAACTTGCTCCTGAGTTCCATAATGCTTCGGTCACTGGCAAACAGGTTGATGGCGTAGGTCATGGTTGAAATCTGATTGACAGTCTCACTGTCAACACTTGAGACTTGGCAAAGTCTCTCGACGATCTTTACCACTCTATCCTTGACAAGCTGTGCCAAGTTGTCAGTGGCTCCTTCCTTGAGATTGCCCCGCATCGCTGGAAAGGCTTGGACTGCTGCTTTGAACGGCGCTGTGATGAGAGACATGTCCGCTTCAGGCACGTCCTCTTCCTCCAAATCACTGGTAAGCTTTTGCAGCTCTTGGCCAAGCTTCAAGGTGGAAGTGCCAACTTTGAGACAGTCATCAACACGAGACTGCCAAGCCTCATCTTCCTTCAGAAAGAGGTTCAAGCCGTTGACCAATGTGTTTGATTCATCGTGGGCGCTCATGAAATCTGTCAAGTTGGAGACGCTGGTGCCCAAATAGCCTGGAACTGGGTGAAGCAACACCAGCAAACAAGAGAAGGCCCTAAAGATATCGCGAGAGGCTGCCTTGACACCTGGGTTGAGCTCCGCAATGTTCGCCACAGAGTCTGCCTGGTAAAGTGCCACATACTTCTCGGCCAACCTTTGCAAGTATTTCAACTTCCCTTCCCCCTCGAACAGGTTGAAGAAGGAGTCCGAGCCAACCGCAGTGATCATCGCAACGGCGAGTTCCTGGAGAAAGGCTTCATGGTGAAAGCAAAAGAAGAAAAACATTGTGTGGCACTACAGCTAGTTGATATGGATGCGAATGAACATCTAGCGGCGAATCTAGTGGAGCAGGTAGGCAACTCAGTCCTCTTCCTGCATCTTCTTCTCTTCAGCCCCTTCATCAAGGCTCTTGTGCACATCCACCATCTCAGCTGCCAGTGGGTCAAAGGAGGGAGACTTGACGCTCCAAGAAGCGCTTTGCCCATCCACCTCATACTTCCAAGCGCAAATGGAAGCCATGAAAGATTCCAGCACGGTCTTGAACGTGTTCTCATCGAAGCCGCTTCTGCCCACGTCTTCAAACACTGATGAGATGACTTTGCCGGTGATCTGGACACGAAGAGCAAGGGGAAGGGTGATGCTCGCATCGATGAGTGCCTGTGCAGAAACCTGAACATCCCTGCACCCGAGCCCTGCAAAGTTGTGGACAAGACCATTTGCCAACTCGCACAAGGAGATGTACTTCTGGAGAATCCTGTACTGGTATTTCTGCTCTGTCTTCATCCTCTCGCAGATGCGCTTCGCCTCAGATAGCTATGATTGCCAAAGCCTTGGCCTAACCCTGGGTTGGAATTTGAAAAAAAACTGTAGGCAAGTAAGCTGGGCACCCCTTCTACATAGACCATGATTCTCTCTTGCTTGAGCAAGATCTTGTTCACATCCATGCCTTGGAAGCACTTCGGGATTGACTTCAAGGCGGCAGCGACCTGAGCAAGCTCCTTCGGAAGGTCTGACTCCAGGACAGTTGAGGCTGCCTCTTCTTCCTCATGCTGTTTGGGAACACCCCTCTTTCCAGCCCCAGCTACCCTCTTCTGCCTTTTGAGCAACTCTTTCGACTTGGCTGAAAGCCTGTCAGATGCCTTTGGCCCCTGAACTACCTTCCCGGCATCGTCATCAGACTGGGGCTGGTCTTCTTCCGGCTCAGCCTCGTCAGCGGGCCTCTTTTTGGCATTTTTCTTTTCGAAAAGAGTATCACACTTGTCCATCAGCTCATTCAGAGACAGAATCCTGCCCCAACCAGATTCGTCCTTCACATTCCTTGGGAGAGACTTCACCTGCACCGTTGCAAGGTTGTCAAAGGTTGCACTGCCCTGGCTGCTGATGATCTGGTTGGCTGCCTCCAGCAGCAATTGCTCATGGCTGACACTGAGGTCCGTGTAGATCTTCATTCTACGCATTGAGTGGATCTGGGCACAAGTGAGGTCTTCCAGGCTGACAATGTAGAACTTGCCAACCTTGTTGCCCCACTGGTTGGGCACATCGGACTCAACATCAAGCTTCAGAACCGTGCTCGAACTGGTTTGCCCCGATAGCTTGTCAAACTCCGTTTCTGTGAGCAAGCCTAGCTCTCTGTAGATCTCCATGCCTCGACGCTCCGTATCAGCCACATTCGAGCGAAGGGAGACAGAAGCCTCTGCCTCTCCCTTGCGAACACGGCAAGAGAGATGCCAATCGCGCTTCCATGCTTCTGGTCCGTCATCAAGCCTCCATCGGCAAGAAAAGAATGTGGATTTTTGGACAAGTAAACTTTGTAAACCAAACCTCAAGTGACATAAGGGCATCAGACACATTGCATGAGACACAACAAGACAGGCTCCTCTGGCAGCATTCAGACCATGGACGCCCTGGGTGAGTCTCGCTCCAGTTTGCACAGCAATTGAAGCAGGCATCCAAGACCTTGTTTCCCTCAGTGTCCTCCTTGGCCATCACAACGTCCTGTGGGAAGAACTGAGCAGTTGACAGCCTGCGCGACATCTAACTAAAGAGTTAATTACTAAAGACCGCTAAAGACTATGCCTGCCACTGCAGTACAAGTTTGTGAGGCCACTGAGAAGAAACGCGTGAAAGGCTCAAACCCAAAGACTGTCCTTGGAAGAAGCTTTGCAGGAATAACACACTCTGATTCTTTTGGCGGCAAGTTTGGCCGATGACGCAGCAGCAGAACCTGACTTCATACTCTGCTTGTCGTCATCGTTGTCCCTGTTAATCCCCCTCCGTGCAGAAGCTGGCTTGGCAAACTGCTCCTACCAACAAAAAGTCACAATGGTTTCTACCAAGAGATTAATTAGTCACAATGTTGATGCTTGCTAGGGAGGACCTCAAGTTTGAACAACCAAACAACAACCCGGGCAATCCTTCTTCACTTTGGCGCCCGACTTTTCCTCCTTCACGGATTTCCCCATGACCGTGAGGACACACAGATGGCCACACTACCAAGGTCGAGCGAAAACAGAAAAGGTGGCTGGCTGGTGAACCCACACTGGGCTGCTCAACATAGCACTGTCTCAAGCAATGTTTTTCAAAGGGTACCTGGTACCTGCGCTATACAAAGCTATACAAGACAAGTTCTTGAACGACTGCACTGTAGAGTGTAGAGTATGCAGTATGCTGGAAAGCGTTCCAATGCCAAAGACTGAAACTATGCCAGAACAATTGCATAGACTCATAGAAAAACTTCAACAAAAGTAACACCAAAAACATCCGTTTTGGCAGACAGCTGACTGCGGAATCTCTGTACTGGTGAGGGGAGCAGCCTCAGAGTGAAGACACTCTGCAAGGCCCACAGCTTCCCAACATAGCAATTATGGAGCTAGCTAGCCATGCGTTGCAATGGTACGCTTGCTGACAAACTGGTCAGGTAGACAAACAAAAGTGCAAACATGTTTCTTAAAGTCTTGATGACAAAGGTTTGTCCAACAATTGTTGCTTGTAACAGAGCACTCAAGACAGAACAAAGTAGCTAGCCACTAGCGGGTCGGGTCTAGGTCGACCGTGTGAAACTCAGCTACTCGGGGAATTGCTTTGCCATGTGGATGGCCCAAATTACAGAACTCAAGCATGGAACGGCCATGCCCTCGCCAGCTAGGTCTTTTGCAGAAGACTCGGAAACCGTCTCAGGAATGACAAAGCCGCTATTATGCCCATGGATCATGAGCATTTCCTTCCCTGTGATCACAGAATCACGGGAATATGAGTACAACAGGGTGCTGGTGGTGAATGCGCGGTTGATGCCTGCACGGTTTGTGTGGCAATGGCGGGAAAGGCTCTGAGACACATCGATGTATTTGTTCTGCATATGCTCAACGATGTGACTTGTGTTCTCCACAGAGTGTGCTGTTTGCTGGCAAATCTGCCCAGCGTAGCAGTCAAGAAGATCCAAGCATCTGGCCGTTTTGGGCAACCCCCTGCCCTCAAAGGCACACCTCCCTGTCCAAGGTTTGCTCTCAGGCTTGAGGCCAATCTGTTTCCTAAAAGCAGCCGATTCTTTCTTCCAAACTGCATCTCCATGCAGCTGATTGCAAGCCTCAGCTACTTATTTATAAGTATACGTATATGAATATGTATATGTATATATATATACTATAGACATAGGTTGTATAAGTATAAACATATTGTATAAATATATATATATATGCGAAATCACGATAGAAGCACTCATGGTCACATGTACCACATGTCAAAGACATGAAACGCACAGACACGAGAAGTGTACCGCAGACCGCCTTTTGAGAGCTCAAAGATTCGCATGGTAGCGGAGCCAGTGATCCCCTTTCCAGAAGGTCAGGGGTGAGGCTCGCGAATCTGGGGACAGGACCCGCATCCCCAAGGGCGCCAGGGGCGAGCGCCTGTGTGCTGCAGCTGAAGCCATTGCAGCAGAGCTCGCAATCAACGCGAGAGGGTTCTTGGAGGAAGTGATCACGCAATCACTGCAAGAGGGTCCCTGGAGTACACGATCAGGGCTACAAGGTGAAGGAGCTCAACCTAGCCGGAACCAAGAAGGAAAATGGCTGGACTTGGAGGACAACCATCCACCCCAACGGCAACAGCTTTGGATGGTGCGGAGGTTGCACGCCGCATGATGATGGCAACTGAGGCGGCTAGTATGGCTGCACAGGCCGCAGCGGCTGCTCTGGAAAGGAAGACGGGTGGTGGTGATGATCGATCGTGGTTCAAGGTCCTTCCAAAGCCCGCTGGATTCGACCCCAAGTCAAGGGAGGATGAGCTAGCACAGTGGAGAGACTTTAGTTGGGGACTTGAACAATACCTTGCCTCGCTAGACTCAGAATTCCCCAACGACTTCCAAGAGCTTCGAGATCATCCTACGAGAGAGGTCGACCAGAGCATCCAGACGGACGAGGTGAAGCAGAGGGGAATGTTTCTGTTCTCACTGTTAGCCTCGTTGGTGAGGCAAAGGCCACTGGCGGTGATCAAACAGGTGAAGAATGCAAACGGCTTTGAGGCCTACAGGCAGCTGATCCAGAGCCTAGAACCGGCCAGCAAGAACAGGAGCTTAGGCTTGCTGACGATGCTGCTGGAGTGGAGCCCATTTGACATGAAGAAAGGTGGACTCCTCAACCAATTGCTGAAGCTGGAGGAGGGCTTCACAGAGTATGAGCGCACTGGATCGAGGCTGGAGGACAACATCAAGTTTGCTATCCTGATGAAGTGCGTCTCAGGTCAGTTAAAGACCTGGCTCCAGTTGAATGTGGCCGAAAGTCAGAGCTACAGCAAACTCCGTGAGGCAGTGATCCAGTATGATGGGGCTACGCTTCGATGGAGCAGTGCAATGATGCTGGGTCAGGATAGCAAAGATGGAGCGGTGCCCATGGAGATTGACCGGCTGCAGATGAAGGGCAAGGGCCCTAAAGGTAAGGGCAAAGGGAAGGAGCAGAGCCACAAAGGAAAAGGTAAAGGAGATGCAAAGGAGGCCAAGTCCAAAGGAAAAGGCCAGAAAGGACAGGAGTCAACCCACAAAGGAGGCTCAAAGAGTTCCGGTAAGGGAGAGCAGCAGAAAGGTAAAGGAAAGACACAACCAGTGAGGGAATGCTATGTCTGTGGAAAGCCGGGGCATTTGGCCAGAGACTGTTGGCGAGTTCGACAGGTGGCGGAACCCCCGGGCGGAGGAGACAGAGCAGAATCGGCAACGGTCCTCAGTTCACCCTCGAGCG